TCTGTTTGGAACGGGCGTCTACATGTACGGCTATCCCTTGGTGAAGGACACCACTTGTTTTTAACACTCCTCCGGCTAAGGGCAACTGTTTTCAAAGGTATGGTGGCTCGCAGAATGTACAACATAAGGGGGGGTATCAAACCCTATCGACACATGCCCGGCTTAAGGACACATGTTTAGACGAAAAGCATACAGGTAGCTTTTCGCTTATGCTATGGATTCATTGCTCATCTATCTTAGACTTATTTCTAAAGAGATGGATTTGTTGTGTGATATTAAGAAAATAAAAAAAAAGCTATGTGTGTGTCGTCATCCGAGGGACGACTGCATGTGAAGACGAGACACCAGATGCCCGGCAAAAAAGAGTGTGTTTCTCCTTACCCCGCCAATGAAGTTCAAGAACAATAAGCAGTGGGGGGGGGCGGTTGAGCGACCCCGTGTTTAGCGACATGCCCTGCTAAGCGACCACAAAACCATGTCCCACCGCCCCAACCCCGTAGCAAAACTGCCATATAATAAGTGGTAGTTCGGTTTCGTGACCTGCCCTGAATACTGGCCACATTTCGTCGTGACATTGGGGGTTGCTAGACCGGGCCCCCCACTGTAACCCGAAAAAACCCGAAAAATTTATAGCACAACCTCCCCCCAGGTGAGAAAACACGAGACACACACGCACATGTGGGACGCACGACTCAATAATTCTCTTCCACCGACACCGTCGAGGTGTGCTCAGATGGACGTGACCGCCGCCTCCGCGCCAGCGTTGAAGCCCGGACTAAATCGGAGCGTGAGGCGGCAAATGCTCTCGAGCGGGGGTGATAGTGGGATGAGCTTCCCAAAACAACCGGCCGGCGTGGCTTGCCCCCCGAACAGCCTAGAGGAGTAGCTTCGGCAAAACTTTGCTGACTCCGGCTTCCACCTGTTCAAAAATCGGCGATTTCGTACGCACGCGCGGTGTTTTGTGCCTCCATAGAATGGGCCCTGATGTTGACTAAGGCATTTCTTTTTGGAAGCCCACAGACCCTTACACGCAGGCTCTGTTCGAACCATCAAGCCTTCGACGACGAGGCACCGACACGGCAAAATCAGAACAATAACAGGGCCGCAAAGGCGAGCGGTTCAAGGCTGAACGACACCGAACCCGGCCATAAAAAAGAGAGTCTCGTACGCATGAGCATCTGTTGTGTTTTGAGAGGTACGTAAGACCAAGAGCCACAACGAAACCGACAGAACGAACATCCTCAGATTTTTTCTTGGAATCAACAGAGTATGAAGAGCTATTGTAGATTTGGAATAGGCGTCGATGGTGCTGTTGTTAAGCTACAGACGCACGCTGCCGTGCACCTTTTTACCGCTGCCAGTGGGCGACGGGGTGAAAGAAACACCACCAGCGTGTCCACCTGCTTGCCAAGACAACCCCAACTCCCGACACAGGCACGAGCCTCTCTCGCATACCCAGCCCCGGATTTGGCTCTGACTGGAGAGAAGGAAAAACAGAACAGTATCCAGGCGTTTTTTCTCCTACTCCCTACTTCAAAGATTTCATCATGTTCCCTTCGCCTGTGGTTGTATCTCGAACCGGTAGTCTATCTATGATTGCACGTTAATTGTGCTTTCTAACCCTAAAAATAAGTTTTCTCTCCCACTCACTGAAGACGCTTCTTCAACACATCCCCTCCGTTACACATCCCCTTCGACCGTGGTTCGTCGTGCCTCGAACGGGTGGTCTTTCCGTGGTTGCGCGTAAGTTTCCCACAAACACATGCGGTATCTGCGTGGCTCTAGCGGCGGCGGCTTGCCTTAAGGATGTCCAGGCCGGACCGCTCCGCACGCGTTTCCCCTAGGTTGATCACCACGACCTTCTTGCCCGCGTCAGCCGCCCGCTTTACTAGGCGAAACGCCGAATACACCTAGAGCAAGAAGCCACGTTGGAGGGGTTCAACAGACTGGCTTATTGGTGGTGGGTGGTCAAGTACAGCCGGGGGTCCTCTCCCCACCGTGCGGGATGGACGGGGGTGGGAGCGGATGTCGATCAGTAGTGATGAACGCTCTTGAATGGTCTTCTTGTCCCTGGTACATAGTCTGTCTGCCTTCTTCTCGAGAGGGTCGATGAGGTTGTTGCCGACCCGTGGTCTCTCCAACAGACGTTAAACTCGCGGCACATGTACACGAACTCAACTATCCCCTTTCGACGACAGGCAGGCTTCATTTAAGACCCGGCAAGCGTCGGTCGCGTACGACTGCTGCAGTGACAAGCAAGGCGCTTGGCGATGCTCCGTATCAGCGGCTGGCTTCCCATGAAGAAGCTCCTACAAGGCGAAGCTTGGAGCGACATGCATTGCTCAGGAGACTGAGGGCGCAGACGTTGCGCTTCTGTCGCCGAACAGTCTCGGGGTACGGAAGTTGTGGTGCCGCGACAGTGCCGGTTGCCTTGTGTAATGTCCGTGCAATCGCGTGACACACACCAAACATTCAAGTTATTTCATGCTCTGACAAATGCCGGTTGCCCGCTACCATGCGGGTTCAAGGAGCTGGACCTACCGGCATAAGAGCGGGACCATTACTGCAATAAAAATCAAAACTCGCAGTCGGACGCGCTCGAGCAAAGCCAAAGGTCATCACGGAGGGGAGCCCCCTTCATGCTCCTTTTCAACCTGCTGGGAGACATAAGGGGTAAGGCGGCAGTGCGTCACAACACCTGCAACGATGATCCCGCGGCAATCAGCAGCTCCGATTCGTCCACGATGCGATAGGTGTCCTCCACCCGTTGCCTCGGGATGTTGTCTCCGAAGAATACCACGGTCGGCTATCGGGTACGTTGTGTATTGCGCGAGAGGGGGTGGAAGAGGCAAGTGGGTGTGCACGGGGGGTAAGTTGTACTTTGCAGGGGGGGG